CTGGGATACAAAATTACATTCCCTTGTTTTGTTTCCTGGCCCTATGACTCTTCTATGCCCCTCTGTGGTGTTCCAACTTCAACAAGTGTGGAAGGTACCCAACCTAGGACATAGCCTGGTGGTGAAGGCACTTTCCTGGGAGATGAAAAATCTAGGTTTGAATCCCCATCCCATTTGAGAAGCGCTTAGAATCTAGTTTTCCACTTCCTAGGCAAGTGCCCTAACCAGTGAACTATTATATAAAATGCAGGTAAGCCCACAGGTCAGATCCACTCCTTAGATCAGTGGTATTTGGACAGTAAGGCTCCTCACGGGTCAAAAAATGTGGTGGTGAGGCAGTGGTGGTTGCTCCCCTGCTGCCAAATTTCCAGACCCATAGAGAGTCCTGCAGGCTGGAAAGTGTGACTCTGCACAATACATCAGGTGCGTAGGGTCCAATCCCAGTGCACAGAGCCAGGCAGGAGCAGTGTGGAACCTAATCCCAGCATGTGGGGCTAGACAGAGCAGTGCAGGACACCAGGGTCCAATCCCAATGCATGGAGTTGTGCAGAAGCAGCAAGGGTGAAGTGTGGGGTGACATGGCCCAACCTGTCCCATAGGGACCAAAGGTTGAGCACCTACCTCTGCCATCTCTATCCCCTCCTCAAAAAAAAAAAAGTCAGTCATCTATACTTAAAAAGGGGGAACTAAAGCAAGAAGGAGTTTGGGGCTGTAAATCATTCTCACAAAGGGCCCTAAGCTCCTAACCCTGACCTGCACTCTGGCACCTAAATCCAAGAAAAAGGCTGAATTTCAGAAACTTCAGCACTTTCTACTGATTAGCTTGTGAGTTATTCCCTCACCAACACGCTGGCTATACATATGAAATTTAGACACATAGCTCATGTCTGTGAATTCCCACTTCTAAAGCCTTATGCCAAAAAAGCTAGGTGCGGTGATGCTTGAGGACTGCCAAACAAAAGCCACTTTGTGGATCTGACAATAATGATCATTCTAGTCCAGAACAAAAACACCTCCCCTCCTTTGCCCACCTCTGATGTTATTGCATGACAGCTTTGATTGCCATGGATCCAATGGAAAGAAATTTATGCTAGCATCTTTTATAAAGGGTGGGGTTTATGGAAAATCTAATTGAGAAAGGTACATGTGTTTGCCCTTTGTTGTTTGCTGGGGTTTTTTTGAGGTGAATGACTGCACAGTTCTTGAAGTTGCTTTTTCTTCCTGCTCAGTTAGGCTTTCATTTTGCAGATTTGCTTTTCTGAGGGGAAAGAAATCAGCCTCAGCTGGAACAACAGTCTCCTTCACTTCCACAGCCACTGTGATGATGATTTAAGGCATATAGTTCTGGCATCTGGTTCTCTTTTCAGAACTTCTACAATATCATGACTTGCCTATTAAGGCATTTACCCTTGGAAGATTGCTCCTATTCAGACCTGATTACTTCATTTAGAACAACACTTAGGAAAAACCTTTTTTTTTCCTGCTGGTGGGAAAGTATTTGCCTGTAGGGGATATTTGGCTTCCTCAAACTCCTGTTTCCAGGCCAAAAGCCAAGATGACTCAACAACAGAGTTGAAACGGTCCTGTGGGAAAAACCTGTTTGGGGAGTATACTTCAGATTTGTCCAATTCCAGAAAAGAGAGTCCCCCCACCTTCGTCAACTAATGAAAAATCTGCAGGTAAGTAGGAGCCTGAAGAAGATGGAACTAAGTGCTTCTTGAGCTTGTGGCCTTTGGAGTCTCACTTATTGTTTTCTATACAGTATACAACTTTGGTCAGAAGAATACTTCATTATTTTAGGGATGGACAGGAGGATCTGAGTCCTATCTCCCTTTTCCTTATGGGATATTAAGGATGATGATTACCATGCCCTAACAGCTCTCAAGGAAAGAGGCACTTGGGATCCACCTACATCAGTAGTACTCAACCTTTTAACTTCAAGGCACTCCCCCTATAACTTTTGTGAACTGACCAGCACCCCATTTCAAAAACTAATTTATTACCAAATTGATCTCCTTACAAAGAGACCAGGCAGTGTGAGCAGGGAAGCAGCCAGACAGGGAGAGCTTGGACCTGTCCTTACCCCCTTTTCTCCTTGCATCTGAAGCCAGAGCCTGCTCTTATTTTCTCACACCTCATTTATCTCCTTACACTTTCTGTGTCATCCCTCAAAGGATCTTTCTACACCCCCTGGTTGAGAATCTCTGGCCTACATTCAGAAAAGTGAGTGGGGGAAGATCAGATGTACATACGAACATAAGAGCAGCCATTTACCAAGTTAGACCAGAGGTCCTTCTTGTCCAGTATCTTGTGTCACAGAGTGGATGCTGAAAGGGAGAGTGAGCAGGGTATGACCAGGGTTTTTTTCCCCACCGTGCCTCTTTCCCTTTCAGCCTCTGGCATTTAAGGTCCAGGAAGTTCTGAAAGCTCTACTTCAACAAGGTCAATAACCTGTACCTATATAAGGTAAAAAGATGGAATGTTATTTCATAGACGTTAGGGCTGGAAGCGACCTCCGAAGATCATCAAGTCCCGCCCCCTGCCCCAGGGGCAGGAAGTCAGCTAGGGTCAAAGAATCCCAGCAAGCTAAGCATCCAGACATTTCTTAAAAGGGTCCAGAATAGGTGCTTGCACCACCTCTGGGGGGAGTCTATTCCAGGCCTTGGGGGCTCGGACAGTAAAGAAGTTTTTTCTTATGTCCAGCCTAAAACGGTCTTGGAGGAGTTTGTGGCCGTTGGAACTTGTCATCCCTCAGGGCGCTCTGGTAAACAGGCGTTCCCCCAGATCCTGATGCACACCCCTTATATACTTATGGGCAGCTACCAGGTCACCGCTGAGCCTGCACTTTTCCCAACCATCCCTGAGCCTGTGCTTTTCCATTTAACCTTTTAGCTAGCTCCAAAATAGCCTTGAAAAACCTTGAGAAAACAAACTCCACTGCTGTGGTCTTCCAGTATAGCCCCAGGGCGATTTAGTGCTACATGCTGGGTGAAGCAAGTAATACTGGCAAGGAGGGGATCTCCAAAAGCCCTTCTCTGTTATAAGATTCACAAGGTTCCCTGTTACTGCACTGATACTCCCTGCTTCAAGAGATTGTCTTGCTTCCTGGAATCTGCATTTCTTGGTAGCTGACTCCAGTATGGGGGGCCTCTAAGCCACTATCATCTTCATCCTGCACAACAGATTCTGACTCAGTACCGTGCTACCCTATTGCTTCAGCTGATGTCTTGGTTGTTGATGTCCTGGGATAGGAAGGAAAGGGATGGAGAAGGCGTAAGGTGCAGGAGAAGAAGCTGCTACTTCAACTTGCAATTCATATAAGTTTACCTAGTGTCTGGCCCCTGTAAGCAAAATAGAACTTAGACCCTAAACACAAATGGGACCCCCATACTGCCACTGTTTGGAGTTACACATGATCCAGCCACACGTACTCTTCAGGCAGTAAAAGAACAGTCCACAGGAAGAAAGATAAAAGTAAAAATGTAACAGAGAGGAAAACAATAAGTGCTAAAAACAGAGAAGCAGTCATAAAAAGATTTCATTTTTGGCCTTCCAATAAACATCAAGAGGGGAAAAGGAGAGCTCTCTAGCTACTCATTATTAAAGCAGACATATCTGATAGGGAGCTGATAGTCAGGCTGTCTCCCCTACAACTCATCCTGACTCACAACTCCAGCTGCCTTTATCTCTTAATCAAGAAGACCCAACCTACATGCAGAGGAGCAGTGGACATTCTGCTGAATATGGTAATTCATGTTTTTCCCAAGAAATGAGCCTCTAAAAAATAAATAAATAAATAAATAAAATCAAACAACACTTAATAGCAAGAGTAACACACATATACACACATGCACGCACACGCACGCAACAGGAACTATACATATACTTTACATTACACACAATCATTTACCCTCAAATGTGTCACTATTGTTCTGGGAAAAATAATCCAATTTATATGTTAATTTTCTCAATCCTTCAAAATAAGGTTAAATAACAAACTGTGTTTCTGTTCTGAAAAATGATTGAGAAAACAGCATGATGGATCCACATGTAAAGCTTTCCACATTAAACAGTTCACTTTTGCACAAGTAAAAGAGCAAGCTCAAACTGGAACTGGTGGCACATCAAAGCCAGCAAAACGTTACACAGATCAGATTCCATGCACATGTGGAAACACACTGCTTTCAGCCGAGTACTTCAGGTATAAATAACTGAAAGTGATTCCATAAGTGGCAACAGTACCCAACTCAGTCTCTCTTTTGCTGTGCAAGTCTTGCAGGACTAACAGGAGTAATGGGTAGAATATTGTGTGTGTAGAACTCTATTAAGTAAATGTGGTACAAAGAGGAGATGTAAGATACCTTTTTGCAGTTATCCGCACTTAAATTCTAACCTGGAAGTATAGAGGTGCAGGAGAAGGAAGCAAAACACAACAGAAACATGAAGTCTGATCTGGCAAGTCAACACAAGTTGAGGAGGCTTAGCAACTCATAGGCTGCAAAGAGCAGTGATAAATTGCAAATACTGGTGCCCAGTCCTCCTCCTAATAAATTCCCATTTACTTCTCTGGGAAAAGTTGCATAGAAAATATACGCTATAGAAATACAACAAGGAAAGTATAGATAAATCAATCACAGTTCACTGTTCCTAATGCTAGGAAAATCAAACATGAAACTTTTTTCATAGACTACTTCACTCTAACCACAATAAACAGAAGTGGAATTCTTCCCTTGCAACACACCAAATTTGGTATTTTCGTTTCACTTCATTTTAAAGTGGAGCTCTTGGTGTCTAACTTTGCTCAAAGTTGCACTGTTCATTGGGTTCTGAAGACAAACATTCAAAACTGTGAAAGCAAATGAATAAAGCACGGTGATTTAACACATTTAATGAACAATGACTTGTCAGACATTAAATTAATATATGAAATAAAGAAAATAGTCTATTAGGCAACTTAAAACAAATGCAAAATGCACAATTTGCATTATACTTGCACTTACCTCTCTGATAATCTTTGCCCCCTTTGAATCCTTCATATTGACAGCTATGCTCTGGGGACAAAAAAAAAACAGCAATATTCTCACTTATATGAAGTCCTTCTGTCACTCAACCTGATACCTTACTGAAAATGTAAATAATTTTGAAATCTCCCATTCAAAATTTTAATTTTGATTATTTCAAAGAACTATTCAGTTCCTTACTGTAATGCAATGCTAATTTTAATCTTGTCATGTTTACATAACATAGGGTTTACACAAATATTAACTACATTTGGGTCATTTAAACTAAACTATTTAAATAATATTCAAAATAAACTAATATTTAGAAATCTAGCTTAAATTGTTAGTTGTTGATTTCCACCTGTTACATTTTTCTGATTTTTCAAAAACAATGCTGCTGTTCAGCAGACTCAAGTCTCTAATACTACTAGAAAAATAATTTAGAGAACTTAGTACGCAAATTATTATGTTTCACTTTAAAAAAAAATTAAACCACCATGCACAACAGTCAAGCTTTCACTTACCTTTTTATTCCGATTTACACTGAGATAATAAACGCTTTCTGTTCCAACAAAAGGTGGCCCCCAGGCTCTTGTATCATCACCAGCTCCTGGAAAGAATGTTATATTCTTATATAGTGCCTTGTTATGCTGCAGTGAAGACACAGGCAAACATGCATAAAATGAACAGTGTTCTTCTCCAAGTTCACTATTCACTGTCTTAAGTATCAGCTAGGACAGTCAAAACACATCCTTTAATCACCACGATAAACAGTTCAATATTATACATTTTTTAAATATTTTATAAGTGTAAAACCAAACTCCCAAACATGATTAAGCAAAACGGACATATTTTTGCCATTGTTCTGACCATTTAAAAATATTTTTATTGCAGCCAAAGCACAAAAAGTACAGAACAAGTGTTGATATGAACATCAAAAAAAATGTGGACATCTTCTACATAAACACTAGCTGTTAAAAATAAATATTCAGGACTTGAATTGGACTGGATTGTACTGAGTTGGTAATCAAGCACGTTCTTTTAGGTTGGCATCTTGTCCTCCAAAATTTAAAATTTTTAGAAAGCAATAACAAAGGGGGTGTTCCACCTTTAATGTTATGAAGAAAATCTTCAAACTGCACACTATGTAGGACCAATGTTTTAGGTCAGCATTTCACCATTAATCTCTAAAAGGCATTCATTCAAATGATTTAGATGCCCACATATTAAGTATTGCACTATAGGTCATAACATGTAAAAAGAAAAGAGAAAACATAGTTTGAGTGACATTTCATTTTGATTTCACTAGTGGTAATGCACAAAGAAGATAACCATCTTTTTCCTGAAAAAGTCAAAGGGAGAAGGAGGCCTGCGGGCCCTCTAAGTCTAAGAACAGATGCAGACATTCAGTTTCTCCTGTAAAGTGTACAGATGTTCAGAACTTTTCCTCCCAAATAAAAAATGTCCACTGCCTTGGTCCAAGAGAAAAATAACCCAGGAACAACCACAGTTAAATTACTCTCAAAAGAGGTGCTCCACGGCAACTAAATGTCTGTACAGGTTTTTTTCTGAGAGAAGGCACACTGTCCTTCAGCATCCCAAAGTGCTTTTCTCCCATCCATTCCCTTTTCCCCCTCCCCAGTGAGACAGCATATTACTCACTGAACTTTGCTGCTCCAGCCAAGCAGGGAGCAGAATACACTCCTTCACAATCTCACATTGTGCTGCATGGAGACACAGGCTAACTCTGAGAAATCTGGGTCAACCAATCAGGGTTACCCTGTGCACCGCTGCCATCTGTCTCTGGGCAGACTGAGGGAACCTGCAGAGTATGCCAAGATACATGTACATCAGCACTACAAATTCTCTGGTCTTCAAGAGCTCAGACTTCAAATGTCTCTTCAGGGGTTCCTAGGTAAGTTCTCCTACCAGAACAAACCTGGAAAAATTCTCCCAGATCATTTTAATATGCCTATACAGCCTAAGTGTATTCAAAGCTGGCTAATACAATCCTGAATTGCTTACTTCCAAAATGCCATAAACATCCAAACTCTGCCCAGAGCAATGGAGACCTGGTCTGCTCTGACAAAGCATAAGGGACCTGGTAACTTCTGCCCTGTTGCTGCTGTTCCTCCTTCTACTGGAAAAATATTTGTAAGTGAAAATTTAGATTAAGATGTAATCACATAACTCTAAGAACTAACATCACAGGGACATGCCTACTGTGACTAGACTTCAACCATGCGCTTTCTATACAGGAACTCAAAACTCATGGTGAGAGAAGCCAATCCTGGAGTTGCTCGGAAGAATGTGTGTGATTACATATTATTACTACTTATATTTCTATTGTAGTAGTGCCTAAAGCCCATAACAAGTTTGGGCTCAATGGTGCTACACACTGTGCAAGCATATCATAAACAGCAGTCCCCAACACCTGCACGTTTTGGGGTGGAGCTTTGGAAAATTCCAATATTTATTCTACATGGTCCTATTTCAAGTTCTGCCAACAATACCCTTCTCCCATGTAAGGAGTTAAAGTGCATTTCTAACAGGTCAAGCCTAACAATGCTACTGTAGAACAGAAATATTGCTACCAAACACACTGATTTCCGTCCCATTTTACAAACACTGGAAACTCAAAGACCATACTAGACTACCTCTATGTCACAACGCAAATTTGGTAACAGAACACAGGTCTCAGAAATATTGGACCCATATTTTAACTTCAAGATGCCGTTGTCTCTCCATAGGCAAGATACTTAGAATAAAATGTTTTTCAGATTTACCTGCCTGTCAGCATTGGATGGGGAAAGGACCAAAACTTTCCCAAGTGAAAGGATTTGAAACCCTACAGAAGGATGGTTGCAGGATGACTGGTTGGCTGAAGTGACAGAATAATTTTCCTAAGCATTCACTGCAGATACATTTCGTGCTTAGGTAGAGGACACAGAGAGGGTGGTTTGGCTTTAGCGGTTCTCTTAAAATAAAGTAAAGCGTTTTTTGTTTGTTTTGTTTTTTTAAGGAAAAGCATGGAAGCTTATGTAAGAAAAACACATGACAACGGTGCAACTGCTATGACATAGCTTTATGCCTCAAGTTCACAGTGAGGTACAATACTGGAGGCTAAAAATGAGAATACATCCAAAACTGCACGCCCTGGAGTTTGTTACTCTACCTGTAAAATTTTAAGAAAACTAAACTAAACAAATTCAATATGGAATAATTAAAAAATGTAAATATTTCCCTAAAACAAAACAAAGAAGAAAATTTCCTCATATCTAAAAAAGGTATGCAAAGTGAAAAAAAGAAATGTTATGCTAAACCAAAGCGTACCAAAGAATCTTGCTGTTCCCAAAAGCATAAGATAAATTCTAGCCATGCTTATATTTGCCATACGTCCAACTGTACCAGGATCAAAGGCAGCCATAACAAAACTCGTACATATGATCTAAAAGATTTTTCTGTACCTAAACAGTTACACCTGCAATCAGTTTACCTCTGATACTTCTAGAATGAGACACAAGTCCTGTGTGCAGGGATGGACACGTGACATTTTACAGTGACACATAAATCCCATTTCTATATACACAGGGATATCAGATACTGGACTTTAAAGCTGTAACAATTTGATGCGCAAAAAGTCTTTCACTTGTCTGGGAGTAAATCTTGCATATCTTGTGAAGGGCAATTTCCCATTTAGGAGAAGGCAGCATTTCTCTTATAGGGTGATTAAATAAAAGAAGGGAAAAAGAGAGAAGAGTTATTTGAAACTATTCAGTAATTAGAGCCATGGATCTCAACCTTTTGGTCCCACAGGCCACGTGGGTAGTGCAGGGCCAGTCAGCAAGCCAGATTCATAGTTTCATAGTTTCTAGGGTCGGAAGGGACCTGAGCAGATCATCTAGTCCAACCCCCTGCCGTGGCAGGAAGAGCACTGGGGTCAAATGACCCCAGTACGGTGGTCATCCAACCTCCTCTTAAAAACCCCCAGGGTGGGAGCCTGCACCACCTCACTTGGAAGCTGGTTCCAGACCCTAGCCGCCCTGACCGTGAAGTAGCGCCTCCTGATGTCCAACTTAAACCTTCCCTCCGCCAGCTTGTGACCATTGTTCCTGGTCACTCCTTGCGGCGCTCGGGGGAACAGGGACTCCCCCAGCGCCTGCTGATCCCCCCTAACCAGTTTATAACAGGCCACAAGATCCCCCCTCAGCCTTCTCTTTTGAAGGCTGAACAGGTTCAGGTCCCGCAACCTTTCCTCATAGGACCTACCCTGCTGTCCCTTGATCATACGAGTGGCCCTCCTCTGGACCCTCTCCATGCTGTCCACATCCCTCTTGAAGTGCGGCGCCCAGAACTGGACGCAGTACTCCAGCTGCGGCCTGACCAGTGCCGCATAGAGGGGGAGGATCACCTCCTTGGACCTGCTCGAGATGCATCTGTGGATGCACGACAAGGTGCAGTTGGCCTTCCTAGCCGCCTCCCCACATTGCTGACTCATGTTCATCTTGGAGTCAATAATGACTCCCAGATCCTTTTCCACCTCCGTGCTGACAAGAGGGGAGTTCCCCAGCCTGTATGTATGGTGCCGATTGTTCCTCCCCAGGTGCATCACCTTACACTTGTCCGTGTTAAACCCCATCCTATTCTCCTCCGCCCATCCTTGTAACCTATCTAGGTCCAACTGTAGCCTGTTGCTCCCCTCTATTGTGCCCACATCCCCCCACATCTTAGTGTCATCAGCAAACTTGAACAGGGTGCTTTGCACCCCCTCGTCCAAATCACTGATTCAGACCCACACTAACCAATCTAGCACACAGGACCATGCTAATCTACCTGCAGGGCTCCCCAGGAGTCTGGAAATTTGGCAGCTGGAGAGTGGCAATTAACACTGCCACTGCCCAGCCACCAAATTTTTGGACCCAAGGGGAGGCCTGTGGGCTGGATGACAGCACTGAGCACCCTGAGAGCATTAGAATTTATCTCAAGAGAGATGGACAAGTTAGCAAAACTCCCTTTTATTCCATGAATCAAAAGACTTACAATCAATATTTAAAAAGTATTGCAAAATTACAAGAAAAAATTCAGTGCATTACTGTATTTTTACGTTAAACACCAATGTCTTGTTTCATATGATACTAATCCACCTACTGACTTAATGCTACTTCATATCTCTTACTGCCACTTTAATGACCAAACTCAGGAAGAAAATAATTATTTCTGTATTCGCCTTTGAGCAGTAACATGTACTCCTCCTGCTTAAGTTCACAAAGGAAGATTTTAGCTCAGGGAGAATTAAACTACTGAAATAGAATACCACCATGGGAAAACACCTGCTTTCCCCCTTATTTGCATGAGATGTGTCCTGGTGTGCATGTTACGTGTGCATTTATTCTGTCACAGTACAAAATACACTTTAAAATTCATAACATTGGGCTAATGCAATAGAAATCAACGTCATCTCCTTGGTGGGACACGAATTTCTATTTCTTGTTTGCCTTACCAAAATGTTGTTCACAAAAGTTTAAAGGGATACTTTCAACAAATCTGGTCCAGATTTTAGGGGGTTTGTTCCCACTAAAGGACCATTTCTGTGTATTTTCAATAGAGACA